ACCTGTTCTTGCTTTATTGTAAGAGAAAACACCGGAGGCATGCAATGTAGAAAAGTAAACAATCATTGGCTGCAAAATAAACAGGCCTAACCTTAAGTCTGCCTCGTTCTGATATTTCTCGTTCTTTTTCTCGTTTCTCCTCTCACGATCACAGATGTCAGCGCTCCCGTTTTGCCACGCTCCAGTCCCGACTTTGTATCTCTGCTCTACGCGAGATAGAAGCGTTCGAGCTGTCACACTCCCACGTAAACAACCTATGCATCCGAACAGAACGAACTTGACGGCCCTGCCGGCCCGGATACCTCGCCCACCTCGCCGCGGATGCGCACCGCCGAGTTAAAGGAAATGACGTAGCGCACTTCTGTCAACTTCCGCCAAGCTCCCTGAAATCCCACGGATCAAGGTTGGTGGGGTTGGAGACGCTCCACGGGGTGGGCACTGCCAGAAATCTACGAGTGGAAGATGACCAACCTGGACCGTATCTGCCAGCGGAATATGCTCGCTCCCAAAGGGGTGCTTATGGATTGCTCGAAATCTACTTGTGCAATTCACTTTTAAAAGGGAAACGTGCGTGCGCCACCACCCATCCCACGTAGAAGAAGCTAGATCACGGGTGGCCAAGCTGCGGCTTTTGTTTTCCTCCCCTACCCCTACGCCCCCCCCCCCCCCCCCCCCCCCACACACACACACAATCCCACGCCTCCCTCCCAGTCACACGAGCACTTACCCTAAACGAGAAATGACACACGTTTTAAATCAAAAGACAGGTTGCAGTTTGGTAGTATTGTGCTACTGCTACCTAACGTATAGTTGGACTGCTTTTGATTTGGATAGATTGAAAGTAGTTCGAGTTTCGCATATTGCTCTAAACAAAAGTCCCCCCCCCCCCCCCCCCCCCCCCCCGCGGCTCTTGGAAGTTTCGTGGTTTTGTTTGCGGGCCGGGTCAGCCTGGCCACCCCTGGGCTAGATGACCCTCTGAACTGTCACACGAGGTTTGCCTCTTTGACGCCGGTACCATCGTGAAGATGCACCTTTCCGTGCGATGCGTGGCGACGCACGCACGTTGTGCGTTTTAGACACGGGCGGCGGGATTGTCCGCGCGGAGATGCGCTCCAATAAGAAACCAAAACTCAGAAACGCTTCCGAATTCAGCATTTCTTCGGAACGCCATAAAATGTTGCGCGTGCCTTATAGCATTGTAATTTTGGTGTCCTTGGTAGTTTTCGATGATGCCCAACAAATAGTCGAGCTGAAAACATCCTTTTAAAATCATTAAATAACAATTTAGGCAATTAAAATAAATGAATTACCCTATTATATTGAAAGCTAATACTTTTCCTTAATGGGCCCTTCGACACAGACCACTACGGCTTCAACCTTTTTTTTATGCGATGCGTAGTTTCCGCTGGAGCGACTTTGCCCGCGTTTACGGAAACACCGTATACGTATCTTCCACTACAGTCTTAATCTGTCACCGACTGTAGTGGCGTCACGTGACCCCCTGACGTAACCTTTGGCTACTGTACTTCCCCCCCCCCCCCCCCTTCCCCCGTAGCAAATGGTTCCTTTGCGGCTTGTCGCTTCACTCCTATTGGCTGGTGTAAGCGGTAATGTGACCGTAGCAACGACCAGTGGAGCCGTGTTGAAATTCTTGTCAGATGGATTATTACACCAAGATTTACCTACTCATAAGCCGGGTTCACACTGTTTGTACATCATACAAAAGACAGTCTGCATACAGATTCGAACGTGAGTCACCGCGAGAATCTTGCTTCAAATGCCGTATGGCAATGAGTTCAAGGAGTAAACTTGGCAGGCGGCATTCTAACCACGAATACTGCGGTGACTCGTGTTTGCAGACTGTCTTTTGTATAATGTATAAGTAGTGTGACCTCGGCTATGTTGATGATGATGATGATGATAAACTTAATTTTATTAAGAATGGTGCCACGCCCTCATTGGTAAGAGGAGATAGAGGTATTCTACGTATGACGATTTACTAGGTATGAATACCCGTTTTTTTTTTCGGAGTGCCTCAGGGGTCCCTTCTAGGACCTCTACTTTTTAAATATATATATTATTGATTTGTGAGCGGAGGTTCCTTATTCAACCAAACTCTTCACGGACGACTGTGCTATTTATTGTGTAATATCTAATGACTCCGACTCATCAAAACTACAACATGTCCTAGATTCCATACTGGACTAGTGTGAACTCTGGTCAGTGGTGCTCAATCTTAACAAATGCAAAACGATGGGCATCATACGTAAAGCGGATTTAAATTCTACTTAAAGTATTAATAACACACCCATAAAACTTCTAGACTCATACAAGTATCTGGGCGTAATTTTAAGTGCTGACCCATTTCGTGCAAACTTCATATTAACTATATGACTAACAACGCCAGTCGAATGCTTGACTTTCTCAAACGTAACTTTTATCTCACCCCATCATCATTAAAACTATCCCTTCATAAAACACTAGTTAGGTCTAAGCTAGAGTATGCAGCTTCCATCTGGGATCCCTCTACCAATCACCTCATTGATTCATTTGAAGGTGTTCAGAACAGAGCTTCACGCTTCATACTGGACACTTAAAACCGCACCGCAAGCTTAACATCAACGAAAGCTAGTCTGTTCCCCCCCAAGCCTCGCACATCGTTGCGCCGTTTCTCGTATTTGTCTTTTTCATAGAATCTATCACCATATTCCTCAGCTCGGATAACAACTAATCATCCCCCGTTTCAGCACGCCTTGATCATCGTCACAAAGTGGGTGTCCCATTTTGCCACTCTAACGTTCAAAAATGACTCTTTCATTCCCAGAATTTCCAAAGACTGGAATCACTTACCCAAATCGCTCAGAACAATTCATGACCAGGTACGTTTTGTACATCTATTACGAATTTCATTTTACCCTTGTTTAAGTATTGTATATATCGTTCCATTTTGTATTAATATTATTATTGTTATTGTTATTGTCCACAATCTCCTCTGTAATGCCTTGCGCCTTGAGGGTAAAATAAATAAATAAATAAGCACTGCTGCATTTCCTTTTTGTACAGGGACGAGATTTTCTTTTATTTTTTCACTAAAAATCAAATAAAGTATCACTCTATTTACGCTGTATTTCTAATATTAATCTCTCGCTGCCCCAGTTGTCAAGCCAATATATCTTTGGCACAATGCTACGTACGGTGCAGTCCGATACCACGTTGAGGGGTCAGTGGATTCCCCTTTCCCATGGAAAATGGACCTTCCTACCGGCAAAAACGACACGCTACGTCGCTGGTAGCACCTCGAAATCATTGCGCATTAGCTTAGTTATTGGTGGTGTCTTCTACCTTGAGACTGAAAATGGAAATATAGTGAAACCCTAAGGGTCTGGCCAAAAATGGGGTACGTTGAGCCACTGAGCAAGGCTAGAGCTGACGTCTACGTAGACGTTAGGACACCCTAGGCAACAATGTCTCAAATAAATAGATTATCGCCATGGGAAAAAAACAACAACAGAAAACGAAGGTTGCGAGTTCTGGTTCCGCTACTCAATTTTTCGCCACTTATCTTCCCCATTTTTATTTCAAAGTAAGATCACCCCCTCCAAATACTATTTATAGCATATATATCAGGCAAAACTTTGTATATATTATTTACAATTTTTTTCTGTTATGGCGAAAAAAAAAAGAAAACAGCTTAAACTAGGACATTTGACAGAAACGCTTTCTTCCTCATAACTCTTCGGAGCACATGGAGCGAAAGCTCGCGCTACACAACCAAGGGGTCTTGGGTTCAATCCCCACCCCTGCCCGTTTCAATCTGGATGAGCATCGTACCGGCGTGCGGTCGTGTATGACTATTGCGTGGTGCACGTTAAAGACCCCAGGCTAGCGGTTGTACCGCACCGGCTAAATTGCTCACCTACAGCTGATACACCAGACACCCACTGAGGCAGACTAACTTCCGGCTGTATAAACATACACACACCAATTAATTTCATAACTCTTTCTACCGCTGCGCACGTGGGGCGAAATCCCGCTCTATAGGGCCCAGGGGTGCTGTGTTCAATGCCTGTTCAGTGCCACGGTGTTCAGGGCCCACCCCTGCCCGCTTCAGTTTCGATGTGTATTGTACCGGCGTGAGGTGGGGTATCAGTAATGCGCTATCCATGTTAAGGTCCCCAGGCTAGCAGCCGTACTGCACTGGTTAAAGTTATCTTCTGCAGCGTGAAACTATGTCGTATTACTCAAGAAAATTAAACACACGCTGCCTAGACATTTAATGTATAATTTGTTTTTTGAGTCTTTAATGAAGCGGTAGAAAATGAGAGGGCCAGCTGGGGTAATTGCTTTGTTTACTTGTGCCCATAAACATGAAAGTGGTAAAAAAGGTTTGCAATCTCCTCCGTCTCAGGTTAATTTGCATGTCTGGTTTTAAATTATACGAGTATATGTATTCTTCCCACTTGTAATTTCTTTTCTATATATAGTCTTTATTGTCAACTCTGTGTAGTTTCTCCTAGATCCTCTCTAACCTCATTTCATATTCAGAATGTCCCACACGAAGACTGTAGTTGATCCATACGTTAGATCTTTCCAACTCCAAATTTCGATTTCAAGGAACAAACAAAAACACATAAAGCAAATTCGCGACTTTAAATTTTTTTTTGAAACAGCAAACAAAAGAAAGCATTATTTTGCCTTTTTCAGGGGAGAGGCATCCGGGCTACAGCCGCCTCGATGCATGCCAAGCCGCATTCCCCACCCGAGACCGTAAAACCGAGGCCCTGCGCGGTCTGTGGCGGCGAGATTGCCTCCCGCGCGGGCGGTGACAGCTGCGACTTAAACACTCCGCACGAGTCGAGTGAAAACCTTGTTACGGCGCGCGGCCCTCCAAAGCGGTCCCCCGAAATGAGGCTCGCGACGCCCATGGGAAATCAGCGACTGGAAACTTTGTCAGAGCGCGCGCCGGGGACTCGGCACCGACTCTGCTCTTTCTGGCTCACCCGGCTTGCAGGCGTCCTTGGGATTCTTTAGGTCTTGGGGCCTGCGGTGCGGTCCCCTGGGCACTTCGATGGGCACGACGCGTCGCCGCTTCTTGGGCAATTTAGCCCGCGCCTGAGTGTGCGAATAGAACATGGCGAAGTTGGACACGATCACGGGCACGGGAAGCGCGATGGTGAGCACGCCGGCGAGCGCGCACAGGGCGCCCACGAACATGCCGGCGTACGTCTTGGGCACCATGTCGCCGTAGCCGACGGTGGTCATCGTCACTAGCGCCCACCAGAGGCCGAGCGGTATGCTGTTAAAGTCGTTCTCCGGGTTGGACTGGATGCGCTCGGCGTAGTAGACGAGGCTGGCGAAGATAACGATGCCCAACACGAGAAAGAACACAAGCAGGATGAGCTCCCCGGCACTGGCCTTGAAGGTCTGGATGAGGATTTTGAGTCCCGCCGAGTGGCGCGTAAGTTTGAACAGTCTCATGATGCGGATGATGGAGAAGAACTCGAGGATGTCGGCGTTCTCCAGGTGCGAGGCGAGCTTTTGCAGGGTGAAGTCGATGTAGAAGGAGAGGGTGGCCGTGAAGTCGATGATGTTGACGGCTCCGCGCACGAAGTCCAGCTTGCTGGGGCTAGCCACGAAGCGGATGATGATCTCGAAGGTGAACCAGGCGTTGCAGACGCACTCGATGTAGAAGAAGGCGTCGTGCGGGTTGGTCTGCATCTTGTCCAGGGTCCAGGCCACGGAGCTGTCGGACGTGTGCACGGTGATGTTCTTGATGACCGGCACCCGCATGTTGGGGTGGGTCTTGAGGCAGAAGGACAGAATGGACACGCAGATGAAGAACACGGACATGACGCCGATCACCTTGGCCGCCGTGGACGAGTAGGGCTCGTCGAACAGCGACCATATCTTGGGCTTTACCCGCTGCCAGCAGGACAACGTGCCCGCCAGGTACTCCTCTTCCATGCCGAACTTGCGAGCGATCTCTTCGTCACTTGGCTTGTCTGTGTCTAGGTCGAGCCGATCCAAGACCGCAAGGGTCTCTTGGGTGTCCCTGTGCTGAGTGTAGGTCATCCAGCAACAGGGTTCCACCTGGAAGCAGAAAGATCCAATTTTATTGTCCTTTTTCGCCATTCAACGTAATGCAATAATGTTTGAACTTCTAATTATATAATTAATTATTAATGAATAATTATAAATAAATAAATAATTGATTAATTTATTCGAGTTACCTCGGAGCGCCCGAAGGCATTATTGCGAGGGAGGGCGGAATACATGTTATCAACAGGAATAAATAGAAGGAATTGAGACATAGGCGCGCAAGACACAAAACAATGTCACACGACCGTTGTATATGAGGAATGAACATAAAGACGCCGGGTCAACTAAAGAATAACACCATTTATCATATTATTGAAAAACGCAGTTGTAGACATGAAAATTATTTCTTCAAATACCAAGTTCCAGCCTTTTGTACCATTCGTACGATTTGTTGACTCATACATTTCACAGGAAAGATTAAACGGGCTATAATCAGGTGGTTTATATGGTGCTATTATTTTTCTAAATATAGTTAAACGTGATGCCATTTTCATTGCAAGGTTTTATACGAGGGAACAGGTCGTTGTTTTGAGTCGTCTTATTCCTCTTTCGATGTCTTCTTGTTTTACACTTCGTTAGGTCGCTCTATATATTCAGTAGATATGTGTAACATTTCACGGGCCATTTTCATCACTTTACACGATCTGCAAAGGGGAAACAATAAAAAAATGCAGATTAATTAACCGCACTGTTCGAATTGAATGAAGGTTGCGAAATCGCCAAAAAGACAAAATCTTCGGCGGCGCCGGGATTCGAATACCAACCGGCAATTGGGGGACCCGGAATTGGAATTCCGGCGCCGCAAAAAGTTTTGTCTTTTGTCGGCTTCTTAACCTTCATTCCATTTGATCACGTTCATTTATCTGCATATTTGTTGTTATGTATATTTGATGCACATGTATGATTTCTCTTTCTGGACACATTTAGAAAACAAACTTGCCGAGATAGTTTCTACTTTAGTTTGGAGAACGATTTCGATTAGGACCACTGTCCCTTTTACTAAAGCCGTTCGTCTGTGGAGACGTACATCGTTCAATAGCTACGTGCATGTTTTGCCTGCATTGCACGCCTTTCATGTCATTGATTGATCACGTTCTAGAGGTGCTCAATAATCTTACGTGTTACAAAACAATATAAGTAACCAAAGTGGCCTGTCACGACGAGCTTGACAATAGAGCCATCACACAACCGGAACGAACACATTGTCAACACGTTCTTTTCCGTAAAACAACTTCTCAGACATGCTCCAGGTTCCAACAAAGCCTTGCAATAATGAACCGGGAGGCCACCCCCGCCCCCCATCCCCCCCCCACCGGCAAGAAAAACAAAAACAAGAAGTGTTTTTTGGTTTGTGTGGACGAACTATGCATTAAAGAAAGGTCAAACCCCGTGAGAATGTGAAGCTAGCGATTGGGAAAGAACGCGAAATTTTGAGAACGCTATGTTACCTGGATCAAAAGATAATTGAGAAAGATAAAATTTTCCAATGAGCCAACGTCCACTTAAGCATATTATCGGCAAAACGAGGAATGACGTTGTGGGCGTCTGTATCATTTATATCAGTGTACAAAAACTGGTAAGCACAAAAGAAAACAATATTCTCTTTCTCGCTGAAAAGTGTTTTTCAGCGATATAAAATCCCACAGGCGTCCACAACGTCAGCTCAATTATTTTGACGATACTAGGCTTAGGTGAACGTTGGCTCACACAGAAATTTTGTTTTAGAGCGCAGCTCTTAGGCGCCCGTTACCGGCTTGAGCGGCGTCGCCGTCGCCGTCGGCGTAACCGCGCGGTGCATTATGGGTAAATTCTTCCGAAGGGACCCGAGGTCCTCCCGAAGTAACCCGAGGTCGTCCCGAAGGAACCCGAGGTCCTTCGGGAGGACGTCGGGTCCCTTCGGGAGGACCTCGGGTTTCTTCGGTAGGACCTCGGGAGGACCTAGGGTTTCTTCGGGGGTTACACGCAACAGGTTGCATGCAACCTGTTGCATGCAGCTGGCATGCAACCTGAGCTGCATGCAACCTGTTTCATGCAACTGGCATGCAACGAGTTGTATGCAACCTGTTGCATGCAATCCAGGTTGCATGCAATCTGGTGACGTTATCGGCATCGTCATCGTCATCATTACTGATGACGTCATCAGTGACATCACTGATGACGTCATCGGCATCCGCATCGTCATCGTCATCATCACTGATGACGTCAACAGTGACGTCACTGACGTCACTGATGACGTCATTGGCATCCGCATCGTCATCGTCATCATCACAGATGACCTCATCGGATCGTCATCGTCAAGGCCACGTGACCCCCCGAGATCACGTGACCCCCCGAGGTCACATGACCTCCCCCCCTTCAGTACCCTTCCCTCCTCCTCCTCAAGAGCTGCGCTCTAATTCGGCGTTACAGGGAGTTGTAAACGGCTTTCATTTTTTTCTCAATTATTTTTTGATCCAGGTAACCTCATCTTCTCAAACTCTCGCGTTCTATTCCAACCGCTAGCGTCACATTCTCATGAAGTTTGAGCATTCTACGATGCATATAGCTCTTTTACCCGGGCCGAAAAACACGGTCCTCTTTTCTCGGGAACTCCCTGTACTACGACTTTTACATAGAGCGCTCGTGGGAATAAATGCTTGACAGCGCCCCCCGAAAATCTTTCTTTCCGACGAGAGTGCCTCATCACGATAAAGGCCAGAGGAAAGCGCGTTGTGATTACTTTTCTGTCGGCGGAAAGACACATCCATAAAGTTCACGCGTACCACGCATGCCGAGGTCCTTTGTTCGCGATTTGTCTTCGCTCCTAAGGAGTATTGCGGAATGCAGGCAGTATTGAGCGGTGAATAGCAGGTAAAATTGGGCCTCGAAATGAAGTTCATTCGGACGCGTGTGGCGTAACCCACGACGTGCGGTCGTTCGTTCGAGAGTCCTGAAGCTTTCAGCGGCTGACGGTACATTCTTCAACGGTCGTGCGACGACTGTGACCTAATCGGTTGGGAAATGTTCAGCTGTTAGGAAATAACGTCAAATGCGACCCATTTATCAGGTAATGGTAACAGCTGCTGGCGGTTGCATTTTTTTTTGAGCTCACGTGTAATGACATTTGAGTATTCTCACGTTTTTTTTATTTCGTTTTCAAAATATCACAAATTAGAACGATTTAGTAAAATGAACAATAGGCTTTAAAAATTATTGTGCGCTTGCTTCTATGCAAAATGTGTCAGCCGTGTTCTTTTTTTTTTTTTTGAACTTTCTTTAGAATAACGAGGTTTGAATGGGCAATATTTTCTACAGTAGTGCGGGGAGGGCTGTGCATCATGCCCGGTGTATGGCTCGCTTATGCAAACTATATTGCTTGAGCTGATTGACCATAACGAGCTAATTCTTTATTAATAAGTCGCGCTTGGATTCGCGCCCTAGCAGTGCTAATTGTTGTAAATGTTCATGATCTTTCGCATTACAATACTGCGTTCACCCCTAAGCTGAGGCTGCGTTTGAAGCTACATCCTCGTTGCACCAATCACACGCCTTTTATTCGCCACGTCATCATGCTCCCGCCCATACCGACGCGTAGGGAGCCGGGTCAGGTTATAAGAGAGAGGCGGCTGATCGGTCCGGCGGGCAGTCTCACCTTGGGGGGTGAACGGAGCATAAGCTGTAGGCAGTCATTAAACAAAGTATGACTCTAGCTCTTTTTTTTTTCCAACCGGTTTTGTAGTTAATGAAAAACAATTTGCTCTAGGTTACACGCGGTAACGTTCAGTTGGATTAGGCCAAGCTAACAAAGAAAGTAATAACTATTACTAATATTGTTTACTTACTGAAGTTAAAAGGAGCACAGTTTGTGAACGACGTTATCAACTGATAGGTGCTGACTTACGTTTAAGTAATTTAATTGAGTTTTACTAACGATATGTGCGAAGCAAGAAACTTGAAACAGGTTACTTATATTATATGAAACGAAATATTATCTAAACCCGTAATATTTTTAAATAAGACCGCAGTTCGGACAACTTCAAAAATAGAGAAATGCTAATTTTTGGAAGTATTCTCAAAAACAAGCATGCGTCTGTTGTGCATGGTTAGTCCAATTGCTGCGTTCTACTTTTTCACGCCTTTTTTCTAGGCCTTACACACTGTAACTTTTGTTTTATTATTAAACTTCATAGGTGAAAAAAAAAAATAAAGTAAACAAGAAAGTCCTACAAGCTGGTATCATCCTTTTCGGGTTAGGCAAGAATAAGTATAAGTTCAGGCAAACGAAGGAATTGAAAGAGTTACTAAGGAAATTATCTCCGAGCTTTCGCAGTATTACCCCTTGGAAAAGGGTAATACGGAAAAGAGATGTTTAGACAGACACACGGCAAACGTCCAAAATTCGAGGATATGGCAAATTCGGCGGCCGGGTGTAACATTTTTCGTCCGGTTCCGCTGTTGCTTTCTAACGTGCAATTGTCCCGAGTGACAAGACAACCGAACTCTAACCACATGGTGGACGCACTATTGCAATAATCAATACAGCCAAACGTGACAAAAAAAAAATTGTTGCATTTGTTTGTTGAAAAAGGTCGTGCATGCACGCGAAGAAGCGGATTCGTGTGTTGGCGCGAATAGCTGTCCAAAAGGAGAGGCGGGTCACCTGGTTGGCGTCCAGACCCCAGAACTCAAGTTCTTCTTCGAAGAGAGGCCCGCAGACGTCGGTAGGATAGTGGAGCTTCCCGGTGCGGTAGTAGTTGAGGATCTGTCCGAAGACGCCCGGGTGTCGGTCGAAGAAGTACTCGTTGAGCACCGGGTCGTAGTTGGCCAGGGCCTCGGTGAGCCTGGAAAGGCGCGTGGCGGGGATCTTCTTCAGGGTCGCCTTGTACGTCTCGTGCCGGATGCCGCCCACGTTGAGCACCACCCGGTTCTCGGCGTCCAGGTTCATGGTTCAAGGCCGACGCTACGCCGCCGCTGCCCCAGGGCGCCGGAGTCCGCCGGGTCCCGCCCCGACGCCCATCATGCCTGTCGGGAGACGAGAAACAGCGGACAATAGTAGAGTTACACTGCCAAAGCTATATACGTCTGGGAGAGAAACGGGGTACCGCTCCTCACTTTGCTACCAAGCGAGATTGTGGCGAAGGTTCCTAATCTAACCTAACCTAACCTAACAAACTAACCTAACCTAACCTAACCTAACATAACCTAACCTAACCTAACCTAACCTAACCTAACCTTACCTACCTAACCTACCTTACCTAACCTAACCTAACCTAACCTAGCCTAGCCTAGCCTAGCCTAGTCTAACCTAACCTAACCTAACCTAACCTAACCGGACCTAACGTAACCGGACCTAACTAGCCTAACCTAACACTAACCCAAACTAACTTAACTAACTCTTTCGTGCGCGCTTCGTTTCTAGCGTTTGCACAAAGGCACTCAAAAGAGAGTTTAAGTAGACGACACAGAAGAGTACGGGGTGAAAAAAAGTGCTAAAAAAAGACGACGGAAAAGTTAGAGGACGATGAACATCACAGAGCGCTTTCGTCGTCCTTCAACTTGTCCGACGTCCTGTTAGCCTTTTTATCCGGTACAATGAATCCTCACTAGCCCAAGCACATACCCTTTTACCGTACGCTAGATCTTCGCGTTGCTATCAGACTCATGCCCCCCTTTTCTGACAGTCGCTGATAATTTCTTTATAAACATGTGCCGGTCTTTTGTTTGCATCAAGTTTGTTGAATTTCCAAGTTCGCGTGTCGTGGCTCTTTCTTATGTTTTTTTTTTTAAATCTTAGATGTGCGTGAAGTATTTTCGCGGAAAATATAGTAATAGTTACTTGATTATTGAAAAAGAATAAATAGGAGAGACCAGATTGTATTTTCTGATTACTATTTATATAGAGTATTAATGTATTTCCTGACAATGAGAACCTAATCACTGTAAAAATAACGTTGACTCTTCAGAGGCTATTCCTGCTGAGAGGATTTCTTCCGATTATTGAATTCGGCAGATCTTAAATCGAGAGATTCGATATTTAATTGCGTTTATTTTAGATGAGAAGATGAAAAACCAGCATTTCACGACTAAATTTTCTAATTATTGTTTGTTCATGGATAACCTAAAAAAAAATAATCAGCAATCACTAGCAAACTTCGGACATGAGTTTGTTAAATTTTCCCCAGTAAAACCGTTACTCTGATCTCTTTTTAGAATGAAAAAAAGTTGAAATGAATCTAATTATTTGACCGAAAACTACGAGGCTCGCAAATTCTAAATCAAAAATGCGTTTTCAAGCCAGCTGTTGATCTCTTAATGGTAATCAAAACTTTTCACCTTCTGTCGCGTGTAGCAGCCAATACTCATGACGAAGTATACTTCCTGGCAACGCCACGACAGCTTTCATTTTATGTGTTACCACATAGCGCAGTTTTCTTAGTAATAACTCCGCCATTAGACTGGTCGACGCTGCAAAACGGTGTAGCCACGTGCCAGAAGCGTCAAGTTCATGTTCTTCTACATAGGCGCTTTGGCTGATATACAAGTGCTTAACCTTGTAGCGAGACCTCTCAAAAGGGGACGGCTCTTTGTAACTTTCGTCAAGCAGTTTTTACGAGTATAGTTTATTATAAGCAAAAGCGTGGTTCGCTCTTCTTGTTATCGAGGTAATAAAACGAAGGGGAACAAAAAAAAAAAGAAAATAAAACGCCAGCTTCTTCTGCACTGACCTTGCCTCACCTTTATGGGCTCTCGGTTAAAAATATGAGCGATTGCGGCACCGCTCCACATAGAGCCTCCATAGAGCGACGGTAGGCGAAAATAATCGAACTTCAGGTTAAAAGTTCCACGGGGCACTGAATAGACTTCAAGTTAAAAAGGTGAGACTAACGAGCCGTTTATATAGAGGTCGAACACGGAATTATGGGTACGAACATTAATTTATTTTTAGATCCCCCTTTTTATTTTTGGCCTAGCCTTTTTTTTTTCTTTTTTTCTGGGGAAACCACGAAGTTTCGTGTGATCTGTGATGACGCGAGAATTGTTGCATTATCCCGAGGCAGTCAATGGTGTCGAGTGAGCCCCACTTTTCAGAGCGTCATAAAGGTACTTGTGGGGCACAGGCGAGGTGGAGGTGTCGCAAACTCTCTGCTTCTTAAAGGGGTACTCCACAGGTTTTTTCATTGTCTCCGATTTGCTTGAAATTTTGCTAAACCAACCAACAAACATCGTGAAAATAGTATACCAAATATTAGGTCAAAATATTGTTTTTTCGCGAAGGTATTGAATTTACAGCTTTTGGTCGTCACCGTGTTTTTCAAGCTCGAAGTCTCTACTGGCAACAATGAGAAAGTGACGTCAGTGGAAGGCAGGGGTTCACTCTTTGGGCTGTAGATTTTGTTTTAAACTGATTCGAAGCGGTTTCATAGTGTCAAATGAATGCTTGGGAAGCTCGCTGCAGTACCCGCGCTCCAGCACGGAACAAATGATTGGCATATTCTATTTCTTGGCTGCTTGCTCGACTGGCAAGCCTGCCTGCCACTGACGTCACGGCACTGAAAAGTGCGCGTATATTTGAATGTTGGTTTTTGCATCATTTTCATTTGCCGATTTCGCAATATCTATTATGAATTTCGCGATTCTAAATAGCATACCGGAGAGAGTAAAGGCCGGGGAGTCAGAAAATATAGTTAGTTGAGGTAGCTCAAAAAATCGGTGGAGTACCCCTTTAAGGTTCGTTCACACGCTTGCGACTTCTTAGAACCGAGTGCCTTGAAACATCTTGAAATCTCTTACGACGAGAGGGCACACCGACACCACCTATCGGGTAACAGTGGAACAGTGGGAGGTCCCGTATATTTTCTATTTCTTTCCGTCATCATTCTTTCTTTCTTGGCTCGAGAAACTTTTGTAAATCTTATGAACGAACATTTCTTATAGTAGAACGTATATTTGACCTCGCAAATACCGCCAAGCCCTCGCTCTTGTGAAATGCAGTTGCAGGGTCACCGCATAGATGGCGCCTCAGTCTCGTATACGGAGAGAAACTGAGGGAGAGGAGGAGATGAGAGAGCGCGGGGACGTTCGAGCGCCGATCGTCGACTGAAAGGATTAGCGCAGTGGTTCTCAAATGGGGATCTGCGGACCCTCTGAGGTGCCTGAAGGCCTCCTTAGGGCCCCTGAAGCCTTAGATCAGGTGTCTTCAAACGCTTTGGCCGGAAGGGGGGGGGGGGGGGGAGTTTCGGTGACGTTAAAACGACGCCGAGCTCTGATTGGCTTCGATTAAAGGACAGTGGGTAGACCTCAATGCAAGATGACTTGAGGTCTACCCCCTATTGTTTTAAATCAGCCAATAAAAGCTCGGCGTTCTGACATCATCGCAACCCCTGCGCAAGAAGCAGACGAACTTGCACTCCGCATAGTGGGCGCTTGAACGAAGTGGCCGCTTCCGCGGTATTTAACGGTAGAGCAAAAATTAAGCAAAGAAATGTAAGGTGGACAAATGCATATGCTTTATTTTTAAGTTGAATATATTACTATTTGTGACATTAAAAAAGGATCGTGATCTCAAAAACTCGCCGAACATAAATCAATGAGCATAGGAACTTTGGCACAGTTACACAGGGTTGCGGATCAGATCAGATCACTATGCACAATATACACGAGAACGCAACAGAATTTTTCGCATAGTTACGCAGACACGAAGGATGGGACTACGAGTAGTAATTTTTGGTAATGACAATGTACAATAAATAATATGGCGATAGAACCGGCGTTTTGATGACGTTTTCTAGACATGTGCGAATATCAACTACTTTCTCCAAGTATTTTACTTCTGCCCCATGCCTAAACGAAAACCCACCTGAACCCGTAAGGGTTGTTTCAAGCTTGTCCATATCTAAGCTAATTTTAATTTAGCTATATTTATGGACTGAGACCTCAGAAGGTACCTTGCCTACATGGAAATGGCATGTAAACGATGCACTTGACATAAAATTAAACCCATAGAAATGCCCCGCTATACGTAATGGAGGGAATATAAATCTTCTCGCTATATACAAATATCCTTTATTGGATCTAGAGTTTGAAAAAAATATAAAAAAAGACAATCATGAATGATGAACGTAGGTTGTCAGGACATTTCTGCTGAAGACATACTCTCGCATAATACACGCTGTTTCATTCTTTAAAATTTTACTCTAGTGTAGATTTCAACATTTACGAAGCTTCCGTTTCGTTTTGCATACACCAAGCGGACACGTACACCATCTCGCTTTGATAGTGGGATTTGTGCTCTTCAAAGTGTAGGCCGCGGCGGGTTAGACCCGTTAACGCGCCTCTTACCGAGCACCCGTGCACTGCGGAGAAGCAACACTCGCGGAGTGAGTTTCGCAGGTGTTGCTTTTCTGCAGTGCACGAATGGTCGGTATGAAGCGCGCTCAATGGTGCTAACCCGCCGCGGTGAAACGCTTCGAAAAATACGAACATCAGGGTTCACCTCGAAGCGAACATCGAAAAACATTGTAAGCAGTGAGAGAGTGCAGGCGAGCTGGTAATTAATCGACATCTTGTAAACCCTGAGATGGGGAACGATAAAAAAACGGACGACGGACGTTCGTCCGTTGTTGTGTTCGTCTGTTTTTTATCGTTCCCCATCTCAGGGTTTACAAGATATCGAA